ACAGTCCGCCGTCGTCGACCACATTGTGTTTGCGTCCCCACCACTTCTCCAAGCTCCCATTGCTGATAACCTTCCTTCCAACTCCTTGGCTTTATCCTTAGTCAAGGCGCCCCACCTAATCATANACTAACTTAAACAATCTAATAGAAATTTAAAATTGAAATTCATCCTAAAACTAAGCAACTTATTTTGCTACAAAAGTTACCGAGTAACTTAAAGCAACAAAATTTCAACACTCCTCCTGTGTTTCAGTTGCCGCAATTCAAAAGGTTCCTCTTCCTCAATTCTTGCTTCTGTTGTTTGTCCTTGAGGATTGTTTTGAGCATCGGTGAAATTGTACACTGTTGTAGTGCAATTCTTTTTCTTCTTTTCTTTAAGCTTTTTCGTCTTATGGTTTTGTGCATAAAAATACCCTTATTGACCTTGTCTTATTTGAAATCTCTTTGAAAGTATTTGATTCCGGACAATGATAGAATTTTTTCATGGATTGCTCGTAAGGATTATTCTTCCATTATAATATTCAATAAATCATAAGGTTTTTAGATATGATTTTATTTTCGGAAAGCCACTCAACTTTCTGAAATGGTCTATCCATGCCATCCGTTAAAAAATGTTATTTCCATGCCATTGCCGTTACAAAAATGGCCCATCTATGCCATTATTTGACTAACGATTGGAATTTTTTTTTAAAATATTTATAAGACTTGAATTTCTACGTGTCCTCTCGTCATTAATCCGAATTAACCCATGCCTCACTTAATTTTAACCTTGGTTAGGTCCATCTAATTTTAACCTTACCCAAAAAATTAACCTAACCCAACCCTTCCAAATCCCTCTCCACTCGTCTTCCCTAAATAAAAAATCCCTAAAACCTCCATTAAATTCAATGGAGGTTTTAGCATTCCCGACTTTGACCAAATTCTTGAAAGCGGATAAGACTACGTACATACACGTACCTTAATAATAACCAAATGTGCAGGAAGGTTTACACCCCATGCTAACGTACTTGTACAGACCAACATTTAGAAATTTGCAGCCAAAATGACTCAAATATAAGCTTCAATTTCAGTATATTATTGCTCCTAGAGATCTAAAATTTTCAGATGATATAGTTGCCTGAATCTTGTTGTTTGCAAATAGTTCCTCGACCAATGATCTATCTTTATCATTCAGTCCAGCATGGTGCAATCCAATTCCAAATTGTAAGGTGTGCTTTAAGTTCTGGTCTGTGACTTGAGAAAGAACCATCTGAAGTGCATCTTCTGGCATGTTATGAACTGCCTCGGGTGCTCATCTGAAGCTACAAACTTTGAATTCAGAAAGAAAACAAAACCGATTAGGCAGAAATTAAATTTAATGGAGGTTTAGGGATTTTTGATTTGGGGAAGATGAATGGAGAGGGATTTGGAAGGGTTGGGTTGGGTTAATTATTTGGGTAAGGTTAAAATTAGATGGACCTAACCAAGGTTAAAATTAAGTAGGGCATGGGTTAATTCAGAACAATGACGACAGGACACGTGGAAATTCAAGTCTTATAAATATCTTTTAAAAAAAAATCCAATCGTTAGTCAAATAATGGCATAGATGGGCCATTTCTGTAACGGCAGTGGCATGGAAATAACATTTTCTTAACGGATGGCATGGATAGACCATTTCAGAAAGCTGAGTGGCATTTTTAGGCCTTTTCCATTTTATTTTTACTGAGCAAATCCAATAGTTTTCACCGGTGAAAGTTTGTAGGGCATTCAAAGAGAGGCTGCTTCTTGTCATGTTTGAAAATGGGTTTAGAATTGATATTGGTTAAAAATAATTTGAAAATGGTTATTTGGAAGAACTCACAGATCCTGTAAGACCAATGAAGCTCTGATACCACTATTGGTTTTTTAAAAGATGGGGCAGCAAAAAAATTAAAAGTATTGATTGAAAATTTCTCTAAATGATTTTATTAAGTATTATACGACTTTAAATAGCCAATTAGGAACCAACGAGAGTTGTGGTGGAGTGGTAAGTACTCCTTCATCCTTAACCAGGGGTCTCGGGTTCGAGTCCCTGAGTATGGAGTTGCCTTTGTTAGGGAGAACTTTACCTCCAATATGGGACTTTCCGGGACGAAACTGAAAGCAACAAAATTTCAACAATCTCAGGTGCAGAAATAGAAATGGATATGTTACTATTTTACCACATTGGGAAACAAATACACCATCAAGTGAATTTTGACCTAGTGTGCATCATAATCGTAATATTGTTTTTCTTTTCTTAATTATGAAACTAATTACACTATGAGTGTAATTTAGCACGTGATAATATGCCCGTTACAATTTTTATGTGTAAATTGTATTTTCTACACCGACAGTACATAGAACTTAAACTCTGAAGCATATTACAAACTTGATTACAGGTTCAGCTTGGATGATCCTTTCACGTGCATTTGTGGAATACTGCATATGGGGATGGGATAATCTCCCTAGGAACTTACTTCTATATTATTCAAATTTTGTTTCCTCTCCAGAAGGCTACTTTCAGACAATTGTATGCAATGCACCAGAATTCTCTTCAACTGTTATTAACCATGACTTGCACTATATTTCTTGGGATGTTCCACCAAAACAACATCCACATACTCTTTCCCTAAATGACACTGCAAAAATGATTGCAAGTGGCGCGGCGTTTGCGCGTAAGTTCAAGAAAGATGATCCTGTTTTAGACAAGATTGATATGGAATTACTTAACAGGAGTAATGGTAGTTTCACATTTGGTGGTTGGTGTGCTGGAAATCCTCCTTGTTCTAAATTTGGAAATCCAACAAAACTTAGACCAGGTCCAGGGGTTAAAAGGCTTAGGAGACTTATTGGTAGACTAGTTTTGTCGGCTAAATTTAGTCAAAACCAGTGTAATTAGAGTTTTCTTGTCATTCTACCCCTCTTTAGTTTTTTTAGTAATATTGTATTGAGACGAGCTTAAATGGTATAACATGGATGATGAGGATACATATAGTGAAAACAACTTGCTTGGGATTGAGGAACAAAAGTTGTCGTTATTTTATCTCCGGTTGTTACTTGATCCAAAAACATGAGTGGGGCATTACATTGACATCACATATCAACATTTGTCACTATTTTAGTGTCAACATTTTCATGGATGATTATTTAACTTTTAATTTACTGCACAAAATTTATTCTGCAGCAGCAAATGCTAGTTACAATATGGGTTCCAACGAAGCCAATTTAGTCATTAGTAAAGCCGAAGTCAATGTAATAAAACTAATTGTATAATGGAAAAATAACTCAACTATGTTTACATATTATAAAAAGTAAAAACGACAAAACATGCTAGATCTTACCCCAAAAAACGCAAGTAAGCGGCCACATGTATAAAATTGCTATATAACTATAGCCACGTCACAACTCACGTTACATAATATCCACATGACACTACTTAAAAAATAAAAAGTCAATTTTCCTACAATCATAAGATATAAAGATAAACTATTTATGCGTCACGTGGTGAAGCATCAAATATTAGGTTGGATCTTAAACCAATTGACTTTTTGAAGAAACATGTCTTCTATGTTCTCCTTTGCCATTATCTTTGCCTTTCTCAATCAATCTTGACACTTGCCGAATTAACAGGCGGCAGGCCAGCAGATTAAAATATAACACTGAAAATGTTACCATCAACTGGCTAAAAATAACAAAAAAGCAAATAAAACAATCAAAACAGTTTCAGAAATGAAATGAAATGGAACAGAGTTATCAAATCTCACCGGCCAACAACCTCCCATTGGAAAGATACGCTCCATAACTTAGTAGTTATAATTTGTGCATGCTTTATGTCAAACCAATTGGCTGGTCATGAACAGCATAAACATCCTAAACAAAATATGCTGGAAAATGAACGCGCTAAGACGTCATCACGCCAAGATCTAACATTCCGAAGAATTTCTTAAGAACTTCAAAATTATAGAATATACAAACAGAATAAACACTTGCAACTCTTCACTCCTCTCCAAAACCAATATTTATTTACAACACTTTCCACCACGAGACAAAATCTCATATTTCCAGAGAGTTGCTTCCGCTATGAACTAACTGCAAAAATATTTGTTTCTTGATGGCAACTTGTTACCATGGGATTGTATCTAGTTTATATCAGCTACAACAATATATGTTGGTGTAATCCCCTCATTTACCCGTGCCGAACTCTTCCCCTTCACTTCTTTCCTCTTGTTAAAGTAATGGTCAAGACTTTAGGGACTTGAACCACATTAGGCCATCTCCAATAGCTTGATATTTCCCATAGAATTTGCAGCAACTAAGGTAGAGGACTGACCACGCCAACACACGGATGAGATGAACTGTGCACTGTCATCCACTTCATCACCAGAAAGCGGATCTGTGCTATTAAATTTAAATGATAATGCTGGCATAGGAAAAGCTTTATGGTAAATGACAACCTGCAGCATGATATAAATCACCAAATCCACATTAATAATGGAAAATTGAGCAGTAATCAGAACTAATAGTTAGGATACAGTCGCACAAAGAATAGTTTCTTCCTTTCTCTCTGTGTGCATTATCTAAGGAGAGAATTACCAGATTAAAAAGGACTGTTCAAGATAGTCACACAAAAGTAGTTTTCTTCCTGTTGGCAGACTGTTGAATAGTTAAGATTTGGAGTCGGGGGCTGGAAAATATGGGACTTAGAGAAGCTTTCCGCACAGAATATTTAGAGAATTATCCCAGAACTACATATTCTGCTCTGGAATGTACCAGTCTATCACTTCATCTCTTTGTGTAATAATACATTTCAAAGAAGAATGAGCACTTTGTTCTCTAAAGGATCAATAAAGGCTCAAGAATACAAGAATCAATGTATGTAATCAAGTTAATGAGTTAACTATATTGGATAGTTATCAATTTTTTACTTTCCCATACTTTCCATTATGCAAGTTGTGTTTAAATTGATACGGTTTTAGTAGTACATTTTAGCTGGTTGCAGCTGATAAACGTTTGTCAGAGTTAGTTACGCTCGGCGTAAGTTAGTTGGATAGTTAGTTTTCAAATTTAATTTGGAGGGAAATTTGTTAGAGTTGGTTAGCCAAATAACTACTTATAATCATTCATTTGGAGCTCATCTAATACAATAACACCCACTTCAGCTGTCGATCTTTTGAATTTGCCGAATCTTCCCTTTCCCTGAGCTATTCCACCCCCTTTCCTGAAGGTTAAATTTTCAGTTTTGATTCATTTGCCTGTATCAATTGGTATCTGAGCCATTCGATCCTGACCTCCAGCGTTTAAGATGCCCATAGAAGCATGATCGATCATGGATATGAAGGAGGAGTTAATGAAGAAACAATTCAGAGATCTAAATAGGAGATAAGATCAATTGGGATTACAGCATATGCAAATGATTGCACAGCACATGGATAAAATGAATGCACAAGAGAAAATGAAGAATCTACAGCAATTCGAAAGGAATACTTCAACCATCTATGAGTATGAAAAACCCCGTTTCTTGGTCAATAGATTAACTTTTCAGTCCATTTACTTTCACTCGTTTGTCAAAGTCGAAATTCTCCCAACTTTGATGGGTCTGATTTGAGGACCTAGCTATATAAGATGGATCAGTTCTTTTCAATTGACGGCACTAAGCGTGGAAGGCAACATTTTGCTTATTTACCCAAACACTGAACTGTTATTCTCCCAAATACTTCACTGAAGATCTATGTTGGCACTGACACTTCTCACAATAGGCAGATTTTGATAACTTGGCCAAACGGGCCAGAAGTCAGTATAAATTCTCAGAGATAGTAGATCTTTCGAAAAAGCTTAGCATTATGTGATTCCAACTCTACCTCGACTCATTTTATCACATTCAACCATCATATTGTCACAACTCCAGTTTATAGAGGTCTACATACACCCCATTATATGTGATCATTTCTAATCTTATTCAATCTTTATACAACCACATATCCATCTTATCATTCACATTTATAAAACCTTCATCTTGTTTGTGCCAAGATGCACTCCCATATAACACAATGGTTCTCATTCGTTTTATATTACTGGCCTTTCACTTTGTTAAGCATCTTCCTATCACATACTTCTCCAGTAGCACCCTCCATTTCAATCATTTCTATAAAATTAAATTCTTATGCTTCTACGGAGTTGGCTCTTCCTCTGTAACTTCTTTTCCCTAAATACCCTAACTGGTCTCCGTTGACCCAACTTCAACACGTGTAAATTTGTCAGACAAGTAGCCTGCACTTGCATTGAGGACCAGCAAGTTACTTAAGTTGGCACTTCAGATGAAGAGACGTCCAAAGCTATTCTCTTAGGGATATAAGGTGTACATGAAATTGCCACATGGTGCAAGAGATCAACTTAAGGTACCAAGGGGGAACACTCTGGGGCATATAAACAGCTATCGCTAGGTATACATGCAAGGATATAATTGTCCGATTAGGGGTGGTTATCCCGTTGATGGTACAGATGTCAAATATATGGTCTAGACCAATCAGGTATCCAACGTTGTACATGCTCAATATGATTCAACGGCATATCTATACACATCTGGATAAACACGTTTACTATAGTACACAATGACAATTGTCACATGGTGGAATATGCACAAGGCCCAATGTGTCATCTATAACATGCAGACTACACCCTGCCTTGAGGGTGCCGATGCCAAAATTTCATTCCATAGGCAGCAGCATAAGTGGAAGTTTTGACCAGTTTATGCTTTCTAATTTTCTTCACCACATGGAATTTACTGTTAATAAACTGATTTCTACGTGTAGAAGCAGTTCAAGACGCAGAACAATCAAAGAGTTAGGCCAGTATAATAAACTGTGTCAAACTATCTAAGTACAAACTTAGCATCTAGAACCAGACATATTGAACTGCTAAAACACAAAATAACTGCCAGACCTTACATTTTGCATTTACAGTCAAACTTCTCTATAAGAGCCATCTTCTATAACATTGATGTTTAGCATAAAGCATATATATTTCTATGTATATCGCCTCATATTTTACTTTTGTTTCATGAATTTGGGATGTTAAATGTGATGATTTATATTAATTTGAAGTGTTTTATGTGTAGGAATGATTCGGGAGCAATTGGGGGCGAAACGTGCAAAATTAGAACCAAAACGAACGAAACCGAGAAACTTGCGAATTTGGGCGCCACAGGCAGTGCCTTGGGCCACCTGTGGCGCCGGAGGCAGTAGCTAAATTGTGAGCAGCGCCCTGGAGGGCGCTACCCAGGACGCCGGTGACGTGATTTTGTCCTATTTTGCCCGGGACACGGTTTATTCGGCTCTAGACCTACCCAACACGTATAAAAGCAAGATGAAACCTATTTTTGAGGGGTTGGACGCCACTTTGGAGGAAAAAACACACACGAGATCGTTAGGAAGCGGAGAATTCTCAGTTTTCTTCATCTTTTTCTAGTATTTCCAATTGATTCAACACTTATGCAATTATTTGATTACATCATGAGTGGTTAAACACTCATTGTTCTGGGGTTGTGATTTAGCCATGAATATTGTTGTTTGACATTAGCTTGACCTTGATTATAATTCA